CATTACAGAGAACAATGTTTCGGTAAACCGAAGCCACAATTTGATTTATTTATTTTTTGCACACTAAATTTCTTCAAATTACAATAATTTAAAGATATTTGAAATAATGTAAAATTACTTTTATGTTCTGCCTAAAATTATAACACCTCAGAATTTTCTAAGAGCTAAATTACAGTATAGATGCTAACAGTATATATTATATAATAATTTGAATTATTATATTTAAATTTTAAATTAACTACACTGTCTACTAAAACATTGCAAAGAATAGTACTAACATGTTTCAGAAAAAATCAGGCAAGAGTGGAGGGATTTTATTTATTTATTTGCATTTTTTTCGTGCACTAAATTTCTTCAAATGACAGTTAGTTTAATATATTTAAAATTACTGATTTTTTTTAAATAAATTAAATAACGTTCTGTCTAAAAAATTACAACACCTTCGAATTTTCTCTGAGCTAAATTACAATATAGATGCTCCAGTAATTTAAACAATTAGATTAAGTTTAATTCAATATTCGATTACATTTAAAGCCAGAAGACATCTCAGATTAACTTTATTTAAATGAACATCTTTTACTTTAATCTTATAATCTCTATACTGTAATCCAGCTCAGTGAAAACTCAAGGGTCAGTGGTGAAGGATGGATACGTGACACTCGGCAGTCGTCTCAGGTAGTTAGTTGTCACAGGAAAAGGCAGTGCACATCCTCTATAGTGCATCAGCGGTGCTCAGGTGCACTCATCACCTGACTCTGCCCTATACATGTGTTAGACATCCCATCATATTTCATTGATAAACTGCTGATACAAATGAAGGTCATTGTAAAAAAAAATACCTATATTTCATATCAATATGGCGATGATGTGCATGTATTTGTAATGCGTAGAGCCCCCGTCTGGTCCCTTCAGAGAGACACATTTCTCTGGTAAAGCATTCCCATGATTGATGTCCCTCAGAGACTTGTGGGCCCTAAATATTACAGAGAGCGCAACTGGCTCATGAATACACGCCGTTATAATTCAACAGTGTGAAAAGTAATAAAACTGCTCAGGCATTTATGGTTGCAGAGCCAGGGCTCTTAATGGCTTTTTTTGGGGGGGGGGGCATTTGCATGCATATTACAAAACAGTGATGTTGTTTCATATATATGCAGTACAAACACACCCATTCCATGTACTGTCACAATTTTATGTTGCAATCTGATTGAATTTCAAAAACATCTGAACAACAACAATGCACGCTTATTTGTACGCTGAGCAGAAGCATTATTGTATTAAAGGAAGAGTACACCCCATTTGCATGCATATTACAAAACAGTGATGTTGTTTCATATATATGCAGTACAAACACACCCATGTATGTTTCCATGTACTGTCACAATTTTATGTTGCAATCTGATTGAATTTCAAAAACATCTGAACAACAACAATGCACGCTTATTTGTACGCTGAGCAGAAGCATTATTGTATTAAAGGAAGAGTACACCCAAAAACGACACTTTTGTCAAAATTTATGTTTCAAATCCATACTTTGCATTCAAGATATAAGTTTTATCTGTGCATGCATTTCCTAGGAACTGAACTCATGGGCTTGGTGTTGCAGGCACCATGTATTACTTTTTGAGGAGACTTTTGTGGAGTTTGGCACAAGCTGGCTCTGTAAATCATTATCTGAATTCATTGTATTGAAAAGAGCAGCTTGAACATTCAATCAAACATCTCCTTTTGTGTTTTACAAAAATAATAATAATAATAATGGAAACAGAACATAATCATTTTATAGATAAGTGCGTAAAGGTGATTTTTATTACATTTTTTAGTCCCACTTTATATTAAGTGGCCTTAACTACTATGTACTTCTTTTTAAATTAATCATTTGATACAATGCACTTATTGTGTACATACATGTTGTGCATTGTACTTATATTTTTAAAATACCTGCATGTAATTGCATCAGTAATTATTTTCTGTAATTACATTTATAATTGCACTGTTGACCCATCCCTTACACCTTAACCCACCCTTAAACCTACCCATACGACCAAACCTGTCCCTAACCTTACCCGTATCAATAAATCTTTGATGCTGCATTTCTCCAGCTCTTAAGAATGATAGTAAATAATGACAGAATTTTCATTTCTGTGGACTTTTTCTTTCTTAACACCGAGATACAAGAGCCTATCTAGTGAGTTGAAAGGGTCCACTTTCTATACCCTCCTTCTTTTTCATCAGTGCAACAGAGGTCATCGGCCACCAGAATGTTTTCTATCTAAGGTAGATTGTCTGGTTTTGTTGTCATCAGATTGCACGGTTTCTCATTCCTCTGCTATGGCAGCAACACCTAGATGCCTTCACCTCAATGGCCACACTGAGGAAATCTCAACATGGCTCTTTGACATCTCAGTTGGACAGCTGTTCATCACCTGCGGTCTTGGCAAGGCGGAGTACCTAAATTCAAAGTCTCTTCCATCCCCGTTGAAGGTCAATTTTTTTGTCTTCTTGTTTTGTCTGCCAGTGCATCAAAAACCCTGGAGTCATACTAGATCACAATTCAGAAACCACCTGATTGAGCAACTTCACAAGTCAAATTTAAGAATGATTCATAATTCATAAAGCGTTCTGCAGCTTTAGTCATGGTCAACGACATTACGGCAAATGACTCACTATTGCTTTGACTTTACCGCAACGCGACGTTTTACAAGAATAATTCACTCTGTGGAACACACAAGAAGATATTTTGAAGAAGGTTAATGCTGCTCTTTTCCAATTAAAGGAAATGGGAATGGATGACGTGAAAAGAGCCAATAAAGCACCACAAAAGTAGTCTATGTGACTTCTGTCAAGTCTTATGATGTGTGTGATGTGTCTTGATGCACAATTTTCCTGTATATAGGCTACACACACACAACTAAGCTTTGGGAGTAGATGTTTTCAGTTTATTGCATGTTCTGGAGTTCTGGTTTTGGAGTTCATGGAAAGGAGCAGCGTGAACATTCTTTAAAATATCTTCTTTTATGTTCTACAGAAAAAAAAGTAATTTAGGTTTGGAAGTATATGAAGGTGTGAAGATGACTGCAAAATACTGCTTTCTGGTCACTAACTCAAATCCTGTGTTAGGCATTTGCACAGGTGACTAAGAAAAAAATACCTAATCTTATCTCCCCTTCACTTTGACCATACACACTATTAACTAATAACACTGTCTCTGTTCTGCCAAAAGCACTACGATCTTGTTGGCACTATGTACTTATTGGCAGTACAAGCTTATTGGCGCTCCTTGGCCTTATCTAAGTGCTTGATTTATATATTTTGCCATTAACGCAAGTATTCGTCAAACCCAGAATATCCACTTTAGTATGATAGCTTCAGCCAAGAAAACACATTTTCTCATTAGCTGGTCCTTTGATTTTGCCTACAGCTGTACAAAGCAATGCCTTTAACCTTTGACAAGGTGCAAATATCAGATTTTTCATTTGGTCAAAATGAAAATATAAATGGCCAATTTCCCCCAAAAAACTTGGACCTAATCTTTTACGGAATTCAACAGTACACTGGACCAAGAAAATTTGTTTTTTTGTTAAATTACACTGGTGTGTAAAATATACAAACATGCATATATAATTGTTTTTTAAAGATTTTTTTTTTAATGAAATTAGGCTTTTACGGCCATGAAATTCAAAACCCAGGCAACAAACTTGATTGCTGAAATGCATGCAAATCAATGTGAAATTGACATGTCCCTCAGTGATTAAATCCTTTGGACTAATCTGTCCAGCCCACAAGAAATTAACAGTGATATTTCCCTATTGGACAAGCCACACATGGTTTCACTTCATAATAAGCCTGTCCGATTCAACTTGAATGAGATATTTGTGTCTATTTGCAAGTTAAATGAAAAAATAATAAATGAATAAATTATTTCTACAGGGTTCCCACACTTTTTGACAACTGGATTAGACTTTATAAAATCATTTTATACATAATGCACATAAAAAATGATTTATGTTATATGAATTACTATTCAATTGTATTACTTAATTTTCTATTAGTTAATTTGCTCATTCATTTAATAAGGCCTGCAAATCACAGTTCACTGAAATTTGCTGGTTTCCCATGACCATGGGAACTCTGAAAGAATGAATATGAAAGAAGAAAAAAAGAAAGTGGAATAAATCAAATAAATCTTTGATGCAACATTTCTCTGGCTGCAGAGTATTTTAAGAAACATCATGAAGACGGTTCAGAAATTTACAGGATTTCATCCTCACCAACACCAGCTAAAAGTCTTAATCTTTTTTTGTTAATGCATTACTTAATGCAAAGAAATGCATTACAATGGAGATATGGATGCTGAAATGTATAAAATTCACCAGTAATACAACAATCCACTGATGCAAGGTCACAGGACTGAGTGCTTTCAAAGTACTACAACCAAGTCAAGTTCTTTCTCTCAACAAATATGGGCAAAAACTGTCTTAAGTGCAGATTTAGACACTTACTAATACCAATATGGAGACATTGTACAGAAAGCCTCCTTACTTAATCTATAAACTCCATTTCTGTAGAGAAAGCCCAAGTGCAAGTCCATAGTCAACACAGTTAATAGACTACGAATCTCAGGTTATGCTCTAGTAGATTTCTGTAATGATTTTATGAAGATTAATAAGTACTCTATTAGGAAAAATGTCCATTCAACCTGGCCTTGTCTATCCAACTAGCTAATAAACTGTGAACGGCTACTGTTAAACAAGGTCACTGACAGGATTTCATGGCATGATTCGATTAAGCCGGTGAGAAATGGAGAGGATGCCGTGCTATTGAAGATAATCCGATTGTAATTCTATGGTAATGGGTATCATTTCAAGAGCAATGTGTTGAGAATTAGTCTGAAGGAGAGAATGTGTTAAAAACTGCAGAACCGAAAAAGCACCTAAATTAACATGACACTGAAGTGAAAACACAGTAAACAGCTCTTACTTATTTTTTGAAAGAGTTACCTGGATTTCCCTGGCATGATATATGATAATCAACCCAAGAAGAATGATTGTAGAAAGGCTTATCAGGCATTTTAGGGCTAAAGAATACAGTGACTCCTGAAAAAAAAAAGAGAAGAAAAGGACAAATTCAACTCATTTGGATTAGTTGGTGTAAACGCACTACAATTGCATTTTGATTAAACCTGTAAAAATATTACTGCAACACATGACTTTTTTATTTGAATGATTCCAAGACTTTGCAGACTTTTGTGATGGATTGGATTAAGTTACGCCTTCCTGAAAATACCAAAACATAAGCACTAATGCAAGTACATCTGAGACCATTACATGATTTAACTGAAATTTGACTCAGTTAAATCATGAATTTCATAAATTTCATTTTCAACATATTGTCAAAGCAATAATATGTCATTTTTAAAACACACTATGATTAATTTTCCTGGTCTTTGGGGATTGCCCTATTAAAGTCATTCTGGTGCAGATAAATAGCTTTTTCTGTTCACAGATCAACCATCTAACATAATTTAACCATTATTTTGAGAAAATATGAATGCTGTCATTTGGAATCCCTGTGGCAAATTGAATCGCAGTAATGCATATCCTCTATGGGACTTTTATAGATAGAGGCATCACTTATATTACTGTAATTATTTAATTATTTTAAAGTACTTATAGTAATAAAAATGCATTTATACATAACACAACTATGACTTATTTTTCCAGTAATGTTCTACAGAAAGTCAAAGAAGAAGAGTGCACATTTGACACTAAAAGTAATTATTCCAGCAAAACTTAAGTAATAATTATTAACTCAGTTTGAGTCTCTTTCAACTTGATTAACATATAACAGTTAGTTCCGGTAATCTGATTGGTCGAGCTTCCCAATAGTGCTGCTAACATTAGGAAGTTTCACTGTTTGTTTGCGTCATTCCAGTGTTTTCTTTCACGAACTGAAGCGGAGTTGTGTCATTTTTGCATTAATTTATATTAATTATGTGTTTATTGAGCCGTTTAAACGCGGCCAAATCACAGCACTCCTGTTTGAGCGATACTGCTTAAATATGTCGTTCATAAAAGAACACGAATTTTAAAGCTCTAAAAGATTGTTTGTGATATTGGAACAATTGTACGCAGCTAAACGACGAAGCAAAGCGTCTTCCAGTAAACGTGACCTTGCCACAGATCTTCTTTCATCCATCCACGCCGCGCACTTTCCAAACTTGTAGTTTTCCCTCTCTCCCTCTCTCGCCAGCAGGCAGACCGGACTTAATGAATTCTGACCTAGATGGGGGGGACCTGCAGGATTTGGGGACTATTAAGTTACGCACCTTTCCGTAGGCTCCCCAAGAGAGTTCAGTTTCAATGACCATCACCACGATGCCAAACATCCCGATCTTCTTTCATCCATCCACGCCACGCACTTTCCAAACTTGTAGTTTTCCCTCTCTCCCTCTCTCGCCAGCAGGCAGACCGGACTTAATGAATTCTGACCTAGATGGGGGGGACCTGCAGGATTTGGGGACTATTAAGTTACGCACCTTTCCGTAGGCTCCCCAAGAGAGTTCAGTTTCAATGACCATCACCACGATGCCAAACATCCCAAAGATGAGCGCGTAGTCGCTCAGACGCTTTCTTTTCTCAAACAGGGCCCTCCTGTGTCCGAGCTTCTGTCCAATGTTCTGGTTCTTCTTTTTGCCGGATTTGCCGCCGCTGTGGCTACATCCACCTCCTCCGCCTCCGCCGTCCCCCGCCGAGTAAGGCATGAGGGTGGTGGAGTTGTTCTCCGGCTTGGAGGCGAGCGCGTCGGACGCGTCCGCCGCAGAGACGGGCTGCAGCGGCTGGGACTCCGAATCAAACTCGTGCAGGTTTCTGCGGGACGAGCTCAAGTTACTGAGCGGCCGCATCACGCCGCCGTTGTATCTGCAGCTGCTCATGGCTATTTGGGTGTAAGAGTTACTCTCTCTGTGGCTGCTGGCCGGACTGCCCCGAATTTGCTGCCGGTTAAGCTCGCGATGAGGATGATGATGGTGTCTGGATGAACTACCATGACTAGAGGGCGTGAACTCGCTGTACTGAGCGCCTTGCCTGGTTGAAGATGAGACGGACGGTGTCCTTAAAGTTCCCAGCGGCGTCCCGTGCAAAGGCTGGCTTTTTCTGGCATCCTCGCAGGTGGAGGAGCTGTTGCAGGTGCAGTGCCTGATGGAGCGCTCTTCCTCCCGTCCGCAGTAGTGCTGCTGGTGCTGCTTATAGTGCTGCTGCTCTGGATAGAAATCGTTCTGCAACTGCAATGGGGTTTCCATCTCAGAGCTGCCGTTTAAAGCAGAACCCCGTGCATGCACCCTACCGAGGGGGCGTTGTGATGAGTAACGTAGGATAAAAGCTGGCGCGAGGTTGGACCCACCTCGGCTTCTGTAGAAGTGCGAGCGCGCTTCCGATTGGCCGAGAGACCCAAAACAACTGGGCTGACGTCACGCGGGGAAGGTGGCAACATGCGGTTCAAATGTGCAGCATTCACAACTCAGTGCTCTTCACTGTTTACTCTGATAGGTCTCTGACTTATACGGTATAATATTTTTTAATCCGTGTTTCATAATGAATTGAATATGATTTCATTTTAAATGTAAATTAAATGTATATAGAAAGTGTAAAGATTTTTTTAAAGGGGTTTGTTAAAAAATAAACTATCAAAATGTGTCAACAATCAAGCAATCATCTTTTAAATAAGAAAAAATCACCGAGCTTATCTGACATACGCATACCTTAATTTCTGTTCTTTACTATTCTGTTTGTATTTCTTTACTTGAATTTTTAAATATGCACAATTTATATAGTCAAATTGGCGCATAATTAGCTTCATTAATTCAATCCTATAAACTTCAGTTTAATTACATATATACATAGTCTGAATGAAACACCAGTCAGTCTTGTGTGTTAAAATAAATGGCCATACAGTTACATTTACGCAAAATTACGTGACTGAAACTCAGTTCGTTCATTTTAGATATGTTGTTTGTTTTCTCTTGATGAAAGTCATGAACAAAATGGAGGAATAAAGGAAATCTCTCTTTCATTGTTATTTGTGGAGAAAATAACTCTTTCTGGAGCCTATCTGTAGGCATGCCCATTTTAAATAAAGGATCAAATAAAAAGTGAATAATTCATTAACTCACTCATAATACACAAAAGACTTCCACTTGTAATGATGTTACCTGCAGAAAGAACCGAACGCATTTGAATGGATTGTTTTAGTGAACCGATTCAAAAGATCCGATTCATTGGGATGAATCAAAATCGCCACTAGCAACCGTACACGTGCGCCTGACTACGTTTTTAAAGTATGCAGTATTATTGTACTATTCGTCTGCTGATGCACCGAGAATCAGTCCGTTTCTAGCCTTATCCTTATGTAAATGCGTGATTTGAAGACTAGCACGCGTGAAAGAGTCGCTGCAGTATTACTGCAGTCGCAGCACGTCACCTCGCAGCGTCAGCAGCATCTGAACCCTTTGTTATGGTTGTCTCGCCTCTTGCCAACTCGCATCCTTATGAAGCGAGATCAAGCGCTCCGGTGCACAGGAATGCTGTCAATCAAATAACCACGCGCTCACAGTCGGGCAGCTCATTACATCACGGAGCCAGAGTTTGAATGAAAGGAACATGACTGGATTATGTGTTGCGATTCTGGAACTAGACAGATTTACTTGAACACAGGGCAGGTTGCATTCAAAGACATGCGATGGTTTTATACTGCTGCATTTTCAGTGGGAAACTAGTTTCTTAGATATTTTGTTCAGTTGATTTGTCTTTACTTGAGTCTTATTTTTCATGTAAAATGTAAAAGAGAGAGAGAGAAACAAGACAATTTAAATTTTGGGTCAACTATTCATCTAGTTTACTGTATATATAAGGGCCATTCAGAATTGGTCCAAAGTCAGAGTTGGAAACCTCTTGAAAAAAAAAAGTGTCTGTATGCAAATTGTATAATGCAAGGTACACATTTCTAGTACTAATTGTGCAGTTAATTCTCGTATTGTATTTTCAGAAAGTTTTGGAATATTTGTCCTAGTAACTTGCATACTAAACCATACTGAAATACAAAAAAAATTGCATAACTGTACTAACATTTAGTTTATTTCCCCCGAATATGAGGATAATGTGTTCCCTTTTGTCACTACCGAAACAATGACGACATGTTTCGATCGTGACTGTTTCGGTAGTGACAATTCTATGGGATAACCCCCCCCCCCCCCCCCAAAAAAAACCCAAAGATGTCACTACCGAAATTCGACCAAATGTTTGGTTTGTGACAATGAGAATGTTTTGGTAGTGACAATTTTAGATACTTTTGATCTTAGCTCAGAGATTCTAATCAACATATGGTTAGCTAGCACAGTTCTGAACAGTGGAACACATATAAAAACTAAATGTTATGGAATAACTCCCAAAAAAGTGTGCTTAATTGCAGAAAAAAGGCATTCGGTAGTGACATTCCTTAAAGTTACACACAGATTTGTCCGATTTTTAAACACATTTACCTCAAAATGATGGGGCCTATATCTACTCATCATGTAGCTATGAGAGAAAGTGATACGTAAATATTTCCTGATCATAAATTTAGGGGTGTAGTTAAAATCAGTCTCAGCCAATGGACTATACATTGTTTCAGTAGTGACAAAAAAGTGCGGGACACAGTTTTGTACATACATTTTCATAATTTCCAAAGAAAATATAAAATAAATATATATTTTTAACTTAACTTTTTAAAAGAATCAAAAAGATACTTTTAAAAACAACAATGGGAAAAAATATACAAATTATTTCAATATCATTTTCATAAGTTGAAATTTAGGGGTTAGGGTTCAGGACAGCCACCTCCCAATTGAAATTACCCAATAAATGATGATTTTATATATATTAAGCTTACTAATATTTTACATATTAGTGTGGGTTTCGATAGATAATAGAAGGATCTTAGTAAACATCTAAGATTTGAAGAGGCTACTTAAATGCTTTTTAAATATGTTCTTTGGTTGAGGGACAGCAGTTTGGACCAGTTCTGTAGAATGGCCCATATAGTGAAATATTACATAATTTTACTGTTACATTGTATATTGTGAAATATTATTACATTCAAATTTGATTAATACTATTAACAGTAATATTGTTAATTATTATTAAAAAATCTATTTGAATATATTTTACAATGTAGTTTATTCCTGTGATGCAAAGCTGAATTTTCAGCATCATTACTCCAGTCTTCAGTGTCACATGATCTTCAGAAATCATTCTAATAAATCCTTCCATTGCTCAAATATTATTGGTGCTCAGTTAATAGCCTAAACAGTTTTTGCTGCTTGATATTTTGTTGAAAGTTTTTAAGGATTCTATGATGAATACAAAATTCAGAGGAACAGCATTTATTTGAAATAGAATCTTTTGTGACATTATACATGTTTTGCTGTCATTTTTGATCAATTTAATGCATATTTGATGAATAAAAGCATGCATTTCTAAAAAAAAATATATATATATAAAAATACACACATACCCCAAGCATCTGAATGGGAGAATATCACGGTTTCTGCATAAATATTAAGTAGCACAACTGTTTTCACTATTAATATTAATAATAAATGTTTCTTGAGCAGCAAATCAGCATATCAGAATGACTTCTGAAGGATCATGTGACACTGAAGACTGGAGTAATGATGCTGAAAATACAGTTTTGCATGACAGGAATAAATTACATAATAATAATAATTAAGATAAAATAAAAATGTAATGTATCGTATTAAAGTTCATACTCTCGCTCGGTCCCCTGTGACTACACGTACGTACGTTACCTTCACGGCCACCGTAGTTACAGATGTTACAACCGGCTAGCGTGATTACGCTGTCTTCATTCATTAAAAACATTAGGTACAATACAACCCGGTGAAATATCCCAAAGACTCATAACGTGCAGTGAAATGGTCCGAGTTAAAAGGGTTTTCTGGTATTTACCGATGGCCGAAGCCGATGCGAGGCTGTTATTGACAAAGCAATAATTTATTAGCTCGCCGGTGAGCGAGTTCTTTGTTAGAGAGAAATGCTATTCTTGTCCAAAAATCAGCTCATTCCAGTTGATAGGTAGTAGATTCGGGGAAGCACGAGTCAGAAGTCGATGATTGTATCGATTGAGATGCATGACATGGCGCGTAAAGCTGGACTGAGCTGTTGATAACGCGTTAAGACTGAACAATGAGGAGAAAGAAAGGAGCAGCGTCCTCTAATCATGTGGATCCCTCGGGTAGGTGTGATGAGTTCGACAGTATGCACTTCAGACGAGACCCTGTTCTTCACATTGATTTAATATCGTTTTATTTAATGCTTCATGTGGCCATCTCACGATGGTTAATGAATAAAATAGCATTAAGTGTTCCCATCATAGCAAACCTGGTGCCAATTAAGTAGCTATGCAAATATTATAAAAACGTCATGGCTGTCGATAATTAAATGTATTTATATTCTATTCATGTCTATAATATCTGACAGTCAGCAGCTAGAATGTCTGAGGAATATCAGTACAGTGTTGCCAATGCAAACAGTGTAATAAGCCTCTCAAGGGCATGCGTGGTGTTTTTGCCTGAAGGCCTCCTGTGCTTTATTGCTTTATTCCAGCAGAGTCAGACACTATCATTCCAGAGACTCCTGAAACCCAACGTCCATCAGGATCAGCTCTCTCCACTGCCCTTTCTGACTCTGACTCTGATATTGAGATCTTAGGCAGTTCCATGATGCCAGTCAGGTCAGTAATCAGCTGCAGTATTTGTGCTTCAGGCCGAGGCACTGTGAATATATAATGCTCCCACAATGTAAAAATGTTTATAACCCTAAAAGAAAATGCTTATAGTAAAACCATTTAACTGGTTAACTGTAAGTTTATGGTTTAACATTGCATTGAATGTCATTTTACTGTAAAACTGTATGCGTTTTGGAAGGAAAACCTATGAACTGCCATATAATTTACAGTAAACACATTCCCAGAAATCCCGGCGTCACATGAAAATATTTTATCTACATATTTTTCTTCTCATTATTGTTATTAGTAATGTACATTAGGGTGTTTTGTGTTACATTTTCTGTTATTTAGCTAATGTTTTCCCATTATTTTAGTGTCACGTGTGTTACTCTGATGTTATTTTATGTTTGTGCATATGAGCACTGTCTATAATAAGAGTATTGGTCATTTTTTATCAATAGGCTATTTATGATGTACTTATGATATTCATAGTGTGGCTTTTTATTATATTTTATATAATAATATTTATTATATATATTTTTATTATATTTTGTTATTTTTATTATATTTTTTGCATTATTAAAGTGGTTATCAGTACATTTTATGGTAAAAAGCAGATTTTATTGTATAAACATTTTATCACTTAAGAGCTATATAATAAAATATAAAAAATATAGTCAGGCACCAATATGCCATCCTGTAATATGTAGTATTTCTTACAGTGAATTTCTGCCTTTATTTATTTTTAACCGTGAATGTAACAGGTTATTTAATATTTTGTACATTAAAATTTAGGATTTTTTGATATTTTGTAAATTTAACAGGCTATTTAAAGGGATACAGTACATGCTTCGAACAACTTGCATTGTACAGTTTTGGGGGTTTTTTACACTCTAGCTGATGAATCAATAATGTTGTTGACCATTTTCATTACCAGTTATTATCGATTTGATGAAATATTTGCAGCCTTACAAAATTATACAATGCAGAGTGCAAAAAAAGTCTGTAGGTTCTTTCTGCACCTGCTTTTAAGTTCTCACATGCATTTGTTTTACTGCCATAAACTGACATTGCTGAGACTTGACCTTAGAATTGATAATGAAAAGGTATTTATTTTATCAAATAGTTCCAACCCTACAAAGTTGTTCATTATACTTTGATATCAAGGCAAGAAGAGCCTGAGAAAATAGTGCTGTCATCTGATGATGAGATATCACTGTCTGATGAAGAGGACGTAACTGTGATGAAGACTGAGAGGAGGCCGAAGCACAGCAGAACAACGAGATCTACCTCAAAAGCTCTAAAAACACGACAGAAAGGATCACGTATGGTAAAACAAGCGCTTTCTACACCCACTGTGACAATTTTGGGAGCATTCCAGCCATCGTTTGGGCTTCATGTCAATAATCATCTCATTGACGTTTTAGGTGACCAATAGTGCGCGCCCCTCGCCCCTGAAGACGTCTGGGATGGCAGGTACAGATAAGCAGAGCCACTCCATCAATCTGAACAGCTCCCATGATAAAAGCTCATTGATCGCTTGAATGGCTTCAGTATTTCTGAATCCAGCTGAGTTTGAGGTGAAGATGCATTTGCTGCATTGATTCGTGTGTTGCTGAGCCTTGTTGACGTGCTCTCCTTTTCAGCGTCTGATTCGGTCCATGAGAGGAGACAGCAGCAGATGTGTGGCGCTTCCCAGGAGAGCGACAGCTCCCATCACAGGAGAAAGAGGCGGGCTTCTGCGGTGAGCTCAAGCCCAGTCATTGGATTAACATGGGACGCTCCGTCTCTGATCCTCTCAATACTGACAGCAAGGCATTTTATGCCGAAGCAAATCCTCCGAGGCTAAATTGAAAAGAGTGTCCCGATCAAGGACACTAACAGTATGTCTTTCTACCTGGGATATCAAGTGCCAGGTTACTGGTTAATCCCTTTTCGAGATGATTTATTGGGCAATTCGTCATTTGTCATTGGCGAGAGTGTGTGCGTCTGCAATTTAGTACTGCAGTGATGATGTATTTCTGTAGGGCAACCCATAAGTTACCATTACTTTGGTTAGCTCCACAAAAAGCTTTTCAATTATTGCAGAAAATAAGCTTTTTGACCAATAAAAGTATATGATTCTTACCCATTTTATTCATCCTGATAATCTTCACAAATGAACACAATTGACCCTTCGCAACATTCTCGCTCAGTGAAAAATACATCACGGAGCAAAGAGGAAAAAGACAACATGCTGACAGACAAGACAGAGCAGGTTGCTTTTGATATGAAGCAAAGTCTTTCAAATTTTGTCATTTTTTAAGAAATGCAAAAAAAATATAGTTTTGTGGCTTTTTAACGTGTTGTGACGGATCGCTGTAGCGCCTCAGTTCAAACAGCACATTAACCGATCATCTCTTTTTCTTTACTAGTTAAAGCATGAAATAAACATTAATGAACATCAGAAGATATCTTGTTTCAATTGTAAAAATACATCAATACACACCATTTTTCAAGATCAAGTCCTCCGACGTAAATCAACTCTCCTGTCTGGATTGTTTGTTGGACAAAATGGCAGATTCAGTGTTATGATTAGTCAGATCGCCTGACAATCAAACTCCCAGCGAAGGGTCAATTGGTTTTTCAAGTCAAAGCTAAACATAGGCTATAAACCAATTACATCACAGTCACATGACTCAAACGTCATTCTTTCAGTCTTTATTTAAAAAAACATTTTCCCTGTAAATTTGAGTTAGAACAGCTTGCAAGAGCGAGATTATAAACACAATGAGGTGTGAGGGCGACTAGTGAGTAGATGAGATTTCCTGTTCGATATAATGACGATGTTTAATGTCCCCGACAACCTCCATTTAGCTGTTGTTAGTAACAGGCTTTTTCAAGACAAGTAAAAGGTTTAAAAAAAAAAACAGGAGGTATTTTCTGATAAAACGTGAAAATATCTCGATCTTGTGTTAACCACAGACCTTACTTCAGACATTTAAAGGATTCATTCAATCCAGATAAATGTCCTGATAATTTACTCACCCCTATGTCATCAAAGATGTTCATGTCTTTCTTTCTTCAGTCGAAAAGAAATTAAGGGTTTTAAGGAAAACATTCCAGGATTTTTCTCCACATAGTGGACTTCAATGACGGCCAAGGGGTTGAAGGCCCAAACTGCAGTTTCAATGCAGGTTCAAAGGGCTCTACAACGATCCCAGCTGAGGAATAAGGGTCTTATCTAGTGAAACCATTTTCTAAAAAAATAAAAATGTATATACTTTTTAACAACATGCTCGTTTTGCACTAGCTCTACAGTGCGCGTCCACAACTTCATGCATTACGTAATCACGTTGGAAAGGTCAGTGGAAGAAATCTTTTAGGTTTTAAAAGATTTAAACATCCAGGATACACACACGAACAGACCATTTTAAACAATAAACTGATACAAAGACATATAAATATGTGTCATTCAACACAACTTTTGAACAGTCCTCCTTCTCCACACTTGTAAACACTGGGTCGGTATTTCCACCTTCGCCACGTTATTTTGTGTATTTGGTGTAACAGAATATGTTGACATGCTTTAATGTTCAAAAAACACATTCTTTTTCAAATACTGTACATTATTGTAGGTCCTCTATGCCCCGCCTCTCTCAAACAGTCGCTGATTCAGAAGTGCTAGATTGTCATCGCAAAGTCGGAATTGACCTTTTTAAATTTTTTTTTAGAAATAGCCTTTGTGCACAGCCAGCCTTGTACTCTTCTAGGTTCAAAAAACTGTCGTCCATAAAATGCATTGCACAAATTCGAACATCTGGGTTGTGCTGTTCTGTTGTAAATGAATCTTAACCAATTATTCCTAATTGCATCTACTTCCGGAAGGCCAAATAAAGTGCTTTTGCTTTCGCACTGAAACACAGAGTCTCCCTGACATGGCTGCATCAACACTACAGCTGTTCCTGAAACCACGCCTTCTTTCTTTCGTGAACATTTGGGCGGCATTATGCTAATATTTCCACATAGTGATGTAGGCATGTGGGGGCGTGTTAGATCGAGCCGTTTTAGGTAGGTGTGGCTGACTTAACTTTTATAAAGAATATCTCTTTGGATTTGAGACTTTAGTCTTTGGAACTTTACAGATTTTCTTTATGCACCAAGAGCTTATAACACTCCAAAGAGAAAGGAAAAATTGAAATCGCATCATATGACCCCTTTAACTTAAAATCCATTAAAAAAAAAAACTATTTACTTCAGGATGATGGAACCAGAATGCTAAAATGCAAACTCGTTTCCAGGTTTCGACCTACAAAAATACATCAGCCCTGCAGCACTGGGACGTGGGTCACAATGGTGTTTTGTGTCTCATTAGGTGGATGATTCAGAGGAGGAGGAGCCTGAGCCGAGATCTAAAGATCAGGAACGTATGCTGAGAAAACTCCAGAGGAAATTTCCCCATCTAAACAAGAATGTGAGTCATTACTGGCTGACGTTGGCCATTTTCGTACAGTACGTGAATAAAATATTTGTTTGAGCTTGAGGGATAATGTTGAAGTGTGTGACGTCCCGCAGGAACTCAGGGATGTGCTTCAGGAACATAGCTGGCTTATTGACGATGCCTTGGAAACACTACGAATGTTCTCTGACCTTGGTGAGATTTGATGGGAGATTTATTGTCTACAGCTTTAAAGCACGCTAGACACAATAATATGTGTACTTTACTGTAGTATGTCAAAGCAGTATTCCAAGTAGTAATATGCAGTTTCATGAAGCAATAGCCAATGGACACTTTACTATCCCATGAGGCCACGGTAGGAGTCTTCATAGTTATAAATGCCAGGGAACAGTGTTACAACTGACATTGTAGGTCAGCGCAACATGATGGATGTATTATGTCCAGTACAGTATATACATACTTTTCTAGCATACTTATAAAACATGCATTATTAATATAAACAGAACTGAAACTTTGGTGCCCCGGACTGAAAATGGTAGTATATTATGATAAAATCAAGCATTTTTTTTCAGTGGTTGTTGTTTTTTTTGTATAAAAATAACTGATACAATATTTTTTGTTTGTGCCTCTAGTGACACCAAATGGAATTGCTATATATATATAGCAAAGTATTCAGACTCCCTTAAAATTTTCACTCTTAACAATATTGCAGCCATTTGCTAAAATCATTCAAGTTAAGCTTTTTTCCTCAAATATTTATTCATTATTTATTTTTTAATGAATTAAACTTGTAATATTTATAGTTTATTATTTATTTATTTACTTTACAACCTGATTCTAGATCTTATTAGTCTTCCTAAACAACAGATACTGCAGTAGTCTTGAACTTTATACTGACACCTATTGGTGTGGAGCTAGATTCAATTAAATTGATTTAAATTAAATTAATTAAAGATGTCAACATCTCTTTCCCATCCAGAAAAATATTCAAAATTTCAAGTCTCAGCTGGGCTGAGGTTTTCATAAGCAGAAATTCAGCTGCTAGTTGTTAGGCAACCATCCATCCCATAATTAAGCAGTTTTAATTCAAATTTAGATAGAGGCATGAGAACAAAGATGCTACATAAGCATGTGATAATTGTCCTAATGCTTACACTCTTTCTGTACATTTAGAAGTTGAGTCTGAGGATGACACCTCTCAAATTTCCACTGCTGCCAAACGCACCAGACGGGGCGCAAGTACCCATCAACAAACTCAGGTTGTCCAACTTCCCAGCCGACCCCAACCAAAACCACACAGACCTCTTGACGGGACCAAACCATCTCAGAGGAGTGCAAAGCAGTCGGTAGTGACCAAAACCATATATGTGAGCTCAGAGGAGGAGTGCAGTGACTCTGAGGCCTCTTTGGTGAATGTATTACTGGACTCTGACTCTGACCAATCAGATGAAACCCTATCCAAACTCAAATCTGAGATCCTCAGCTTCTTTCAGACCGCTTCTGTGGATGAGCTCACACTCATTGCAGGATGCTCTTTGAAGAAGGCTCAGAAAATCACCGAGCTGAGACCCTTTAAAACATGGAAAAACCTGGTGAGAGAACTGCGCATTTTGCTTTCTGCTGATAACTGCCAGAACATGAGGTCATGATCAAAGAGCAACACTTTTTCTCATTTCTTTCTCAGGATGACACCATGCACAGAGGAAACTGTCTTTCCACTGAGCTGCTGACAGGATGTAGGGAGGTTCTGAAGGAAAGGGAAGTTGTTAAAGGTCTCATGAGCAAGTGTGAGGAGATATCGGTAAAACTGATCCAAGACGTGACCCAAGTGATGAACAAGGGCCCGGGCTCTATGAGCCAACCCCAGATCCTCACTAGCACGTAAGATTTAACATCATAGATTTCAGGGAAAAAAATGGCATTTTCATTGCAGAGTGATCATTTATTTTCAAATTTCTTTGGGTTTTTCTAGATTCCAGCTGAAACCGTACCAGCTGATTGGACTTAACTGGCTGGCTTTACTACATCAGAACAAACTTAGTGGAATCCTGGCAGATGAGATGGTCTGTTTTTATGATGGTTGTGTCTGAATGATCATTTACATTGCGATGATCCCATATTTAATCGCTAGGATGCGTTTTCTTCTTTTAGGGTTTGGGAAAGACCATTCAGACCATCTCGTTTCTGGCCCACCTTTATCAGGAAGGGAACAATGGGCCTCATCTCATCACCGTTCCTGCTTCTACACTTGGTGAATAGAGCAATTAGCATCTAAATAACTAGGGCTGTAAAATCGATTAATCATGATTAATCGCTTCCAAAAACAAAGTATGTGCTTGCATAATACAGTGGGGAAAAAAAGTATTTAGTCAGCCACCAATTGTGCAAGTTCTCCCACTTAAAAAGATGAGAGAGGCCTGTAATTTTCATCATAGGTATACCTCAACTATGAGAGACAAAATGAGGAACAGTCTGAATCACCTAAACTTCTTGTTACTTTTACAGATAATTGGGTTCGGGAACTGAAACTTTGGTGCCCCAGTTTCAAAGTGCTGATATATTATGGTAAAACCAAGCCTTTTTTTAATCTTTTACAGGTGAAGTTCATTCATTCATTTATTCATTCATTCATTCATTCACTCATTTATTTATTGCCTCTCTCTCTCTCTCTCTCAATAAAGCTAATGTTTGATATATATATATATATATACTGTATATATATATATGTGTGTGTGTGTGTGTGTGTGTCTGTGTAAAATAACTTTTCAATTTGAAAATGCATATTATTCAATTATTTTTTATGTATTTATTTTTTTTAATTTATTTATTTGTATTATATAAATATTATTTATATATAATAAGTAATATAATATTATTGTTTGTAATTATTTAATTATATATTTTTTATATGAAATTTTATTTTATATTATATATATATATATTTATTTATTTTATTTGATCTTTTTTAATTGTACATATTCAGTTTCATTAATGACAATGTATTTCTGGATATATGACTGTGGTTGAGTGATAGTATTTGTATATTCAGATGTTTGTTTGTATGTACATTTATCTGAACATTATTATTTTTGTTTCTATTTTATTTTTCTGTTCATTTTTGTAAGAAAAAAGGATAACAATATGTAACCATCTGTTCTGTAATAGTGACTGTTTTACAATAAAAAGTTTGAACCTAACAACCAAACAAACATTAATGGGATCGTTCACCCAAAATTTTTTATTTTGTCATCAATTACCTCATGTCGTTTCAAACCTGTATGACTTTCTTTTGCACAACATAAAAGAAGGTATTTTGAAGATGGTTGGTAACTGGTTTCTCATATTATCATCTTTTATGTTCCAGTGTTTATTTTAGGCCGTTGTAGCCTAAACGTTTTCGTAATAAATTTGATGTTGAATCAAATAAAATATTTCTTTCAAAAGCTACTATTTGTAATGTCTACTATTCTTTCTCATTTAACACAATAATGGCTTTAAATTATCTTTTGTGGGTAATTTCACAGCCAAATTTAATTTGCGATTAATTAGATTAATTAATCGACACATTATGTTATCGAATATTAATTAATTAGATAAAATTCTTCTAATATATATATATTGTATATATTTTTAATAAAAAATACATTTTGAAATATTAAAACAATTCACAATATTACTGTTCTACTGTATTTTCAAATATAAATGCAGCATAAGACTTTTTTTTAAACAAACATTTAATAATTGTACCAAACCTAAATATATTGCTAGAATTATATATTACTAAATGTTATATATATATATACACAATTTTTTTTTTTTTTTTTTTATAAAAATGGAAATTATTTTTTTAGTGGGAGAACTTGCACAATTGGTGGCTGACTAAATACTTTTTTGCCCCACTGTATATGTGTGTGTACTGTGTATAGTTAAGATACACACACACACACACATATAAATAACCATCACCATCCAACACCGAAACAGTCTGAATCACCTAAACTTCTTGTTACTTTTACAGATAATTGGGTTCGGGAACTGAAACTTTGGTGCCCCAGTTTCAAAGTGCTGATATATTATGGTAAAACCAAGCCTTTTTTTAATCTTTTACAGGTGAAGTTCATTCATTCATTTATTCATTCATTCATTCATTCACTCATTTATTTATTGCCTCTCTCTCTCTCTCTCTCAATAAAGCTAATGTTTGATATATATATATATATATACTGTATATATATATATGTGTGTGTGTGTGTGTGTGTGTCTGTGTAAAATAACTTTTCAATTTGAAAATGCATATTATTCAATTATTTTTTATGTATTTATTTTTTTTAATTTATTTATTTGTATTATATAAATATTATTTATATATAATAAGTAATATAATATTATTGTTTGTAATTATTTAATTATATATTTTTTATATGAAATTTTATTTTATATTATATATATATATATATATATATACATACACACACACACAAATATTATATCTAATTATATTATTATATAATTATTACACATAAAAATATTTATTTATTTTATTTGATCTTTTTTATTTCTTCTCCCAAACACTTTCTCCATCTACCACTGGTCAAACAAACTGATATTTCCTCCCTAATCTCACATTATACTTTGAGCCAGTGCTGCTGTGTCTGTCTGTTAGGATGCAGAAAATAAACTAATGTTTTGATTGTGCTCCACTTTTTGTGGAGAAACCAACCTACAAAAGGTTTACTTTACACATTAACCTTGAAAAGGAAATGTTTTGGCATGAAAAAAAATTGATATAACATATACTGTAAAAGAAAATGCTGATGTCAGTCTAATTGAGTTATTTCGGTAGGGTCTGCCGAGGATCGCAAGTATATGCGCTATGAGATTCTGAATCAAATAGTGGATTACAACATCATTGTCTCCACGTGAGTATCGAAGTTCAAGCTCTCATATACACTCATGGTTCTTGCCCTGAACCCTTGAAGTAAGAGTCGAGGTGTCATATCCTTCGTAGACCACCTGCATGCAAATCCGAGAAGGCGCCTGGGGAAATATGTATCTTTTGAACTAAGCCCACACACGGAGCCACAAGCCATGAAGTTAGCATAGAAAAAAAGCACCCTTGTTAAAGACATAATAATGATGAAATACTCAGCGTTTGAGTGACCGTGAAAAGGTCCAAGTAAAATGACCCTGTCCCATTCATTATTTATGGTAATGAAACATGGCTGTGCCTCATGTCCTGCCCCTTAATACCTCAGCTCATTAAGATGGTCTCTTGTGCACAGTTACAACCTGGCTATTGGAAATAGCAGTGACCGCAGCCTGTTCTGCAAGCTCAAGCTGGAGTATGCTGTGTTTGACGAAGGCCACTTGCTGAAGAACATGAACTCGCTGCGCTACCGACACCTCATGGCCATCAACGTAAGCTCACCATAAGCTGCATGTATACTGTAGCTGTCATCCATAGCAACGCGTCAGTGGTCATTAAGAATAAATGCCTCAAGCTCTATTACAGCCACACGGTCTGTTTGTGTAAAAGCAGGAGTGTGTGCTGCTCCGATGGGGTTAACCACTGGGGTTTAACTGCGTTTGCCCC